AACCATACAGAACATTGCTCTGTGAAGAGTGAGGACATTTTAAAGAACTCTTTAATTTTAAGTTGGAAATATTCAAGTATTTGCAGTGTCTTGAGTCTTGTGTGGGAGTATAATGACAGAAAAGGTGAAACAAAAAATATGTAGGAATCTGTCATATACAGATTTTTGCTACAATAATATTATACATATTATTGCTTTCACCTGAGAATGTCAAAGCACTTAAAAATCTGTTTAAATATGAAAAGCTCTTTGGGAAGCAATTCTTTTATTGATAGGTTAACTTAGTGACCTCCTCAGAGCCAGAGGCAGCACTCGGGAATAAAACTAGTATTCAACTACCTGAAATGCTGTGTATGTTGCCAACAATGAAGATCTGCAAGAGGAATTGGGTAAACTGTGTCAGTCTACGCTTATTGTTGGTAGTACAATAGCTCTGAGAGTCAAGAGCTCTGAGACTAAGATGGCCTTGTGCAAGGTGCTATTTGAACACAAAACCAAAGGTGATTGAATGTAATGTCTTTCAGGGCATAGTTTGACTTTTTGGAAAAAAAAAAAAAAAGAAGTCCCTGCCCCATGCATTCCCCAACATACATGCCTCCTCTCACACTATCCCCAAATTCAGCTAGTGCAATTTTTGTCTGGCCCCATGTTAATTGAAATCAGTTGATTCAGTTTAAGTAATCCGCATAAACCCACCTACTTTTACCTCAGAGATGTTCATGCACCTGTAACAGTGCTAGAAGAAAGAGGGTTGCTTGAAGGCAGAAAGAATGAGAAGAAAGTAAGGAACAGGTTGCCCAAGTTTGGTTTACTTAAATGAAATGTTTGTCAAACTGTCAACAAAGTTGCAATTGTTGCTTGTGTGAAAAACAGCATATTTCTGTTAGCTCCGTTTAAATTAATACAAGCAAGTGGAAGGTACCAATATATGGAAATAGCAGAACTGTCATCACAAGTGATGTAAAAGTTTTCAGAGGAAAATTTCACGTTAGTGGCAAGGTCATCTTTCTCCTTTTGCATACGAGAATACTCTCAGAAGCATACAAAGGAAACAGCTTTCAACTCCATGTTCACTTCTGCAGTGGTAGGACTGGAAAATAATTTCATCTACATTTATAAAGAGGGGGTAAAACCTCTTCGTTAGGAAGAAGAAATAAATAGAGACCATTTCCCTCCCACCACAGTTGTACATCTATTATCTGACTCACCACTTCTATGATTCCTTCTGGCAGCATTAGTTTTACTGCACTGGAAATTCAAGCGTGTGAAAATATTCCCTAGTTTCAGATTACTTGGTTCTCGGTTTTGTTCGGGTCAGTATTCCTTCCTTTAGGCTTTTGGAACTAAACATTCAGAAAATACTGGATATTGCTGTTCTTAAGCCTTGTGAGAAGGACCAGCACAGGAGAAAGGAAGGGGGGAGGGAAGGGAAAGGAGAAATGAAAGGGGAGGAGAGTCCATATCTGAAGAGAGACTCCAGACTACAGAAATTTTACTGACATCCATTCAGTATCCAGCGGGGTCTCCTTCAAGGGCTTTTACTGAGATCCAAAGACTCTTGCAATTCACAGAGGCATTTACATGCAACGTTGCTCTCTGGGAGCTAAGGTATAACTGTACTCCTGGATAATAATAACAAAGAATATTACCAGACTCCTATTGAAATGTCAACCAGGCACTAGCGTTCTAGAGAGTAACAAAGAGATGGTAATATAATTAATTATGAAGCCTCAGTAGCCTCATTAACACATCTTTAGTGCCCAGATCTTTGAAAATCAGCTCTATAAAGTGACTGTCAGAGTTAATTCCTTATAAATTGCCTCCTGCCACATCCCAGCACTGCGGCAAGTTCTCTCAAGCCTTGTCGATGCCAAGAAATATGGACTTAAGTAGCGATGCAGTTGTACTGGTGTTACTGAAGATACAGGCTGTTGTGTAAGCAGTAGTTTGTCAGGATGGAATGGAGCAAAATAAAAATGCCTTTAGGCAACAGTTTCCACAACTGGTAGCACAAACAGGAAAAGTTTGAATCACTTGATTAAATGGAAAATTAAGGACAAAAGAAAAACAGGAATGAAAAATGTCACATGTTTTGGCATTAAAAATGTTTCCAGACTTTTTTTTTTTTTTTTCATTTGAGGATCATAGCCAGTTTATTGCCCTCTTTTCCTACTGCCTCTACCACAGCACTTCAGCTTCAGACTTCATTACAATGCATGCTCCCGCCCCATCCCTCCAGTTTATGAATATTTATTTCAATAGGCTTCGGCTGCAAAAACTGGCACAGAATTGGTGCAGTAGTGTCTTTTACATTTCTCTAGAGAGCCATATTCATGCCTTCCTGTGCCCTGTTTTGTCATGATCTCCCACTGATTTCTTAAGTTAAACTGAGGTCACTACTTGTCTTGGGCTCCCTACATACACACTAAAGGGAAAAAGAAATACCCAAGCTCAATGTGCTCATGGTTCATTCTATTATTTCTCAGTGCACCAGGCTACTATCATACAGTCCTGCTAAAGGATTTAAAGGTGCTGTCTTCTAGAGAAGATTAAAAAGCAACTTATCATTACAAGTCACCCATCATTTTTTGCAGTAGTAGAAACATTGTTATATCCAATTTGTTTATACAGGATATTCTGCTTCCTTTCATCCATCATCTTGTCAAAAGCATATGAAAATCTTCTGTCCTGCATAATATTGTAGAACTGTTCTGTGTTTTTGTTTATGTAAAATATTGTAGAGTTGCTCTGTTTGTTTGCATAGTGTCTTCTGGTATGCTTTGGAATAGTTGTTATCTTTGGGATAACAGATTAATCAAAACGGCATATTTTTATTTGCCATTTCAGAACTGGCTTTTCCACTAAGCATAGAAATATTTTGCAGATCTAAAAGTGACAATATGCAAACTTTCTAAATGGTGATGGAAATTTTAACAGTAAAAGGAGTTCTTTCAAATATGACTGACGTTCTGCTGTTTACTACCATTATGGTAGGAACCTGATTTCACTCTTCTCTCAAGTTATGTGTTCCTAACCCAGCAAAGCTTTTATGTAGTGATCAGGTGTCACTTCGTATTTATATAAAACACATAAGAAATGACAATCAAATGCTTGAAATTAAATACACACACACATATATATAAATCCTTCTGAAGAGCAATCAAAAACTATCAGGCAAATTCTACTTATTTAAGTCTAAATCTGATGGTATTAAGCAGAATAACCACGTATTTCTGTGTGTACTTTTAGAAACAACAGTTCTACAAAGAACAATCAAGTCTATTTAGATGACTAATAACTGTAATGCTTTTTGCGATAGCCAGGTGCTTTATACATATCAAATAACACCATAACAGCTATTTGACGTACTGTAGACATAGAATGAGTCGGTGAACTGATGCACAGAATACATAATTGTCATGCATGATTATTGAATATGGGATTAATTTAAGGGATCCCAGTGCCTTCTGCCATGTTGTTAGCACCGCAAAGGATTTGCTACCTTTAAGAGTGGCATGCCACTCTGGCATGCCAGATTGTATTTTTATTTCTGAGATTAGATGGTGAACATGCTGCTACAGACTCAGCAGGATTTTTGTTTAAAAATACTGAGATGCTGCCAGTCACCTTATTGCCAGCATCTTGCCTCTGTCCAGGGCAGAGGCTCCAAGCTGCCACCGAGTTTGGAGCACTAAGAGTAAGGAATTGGGATCCTCAGTCTTTCACAGATGCCTCTTCCAATATGTCATGGCTCTCAGGCCTCTGCCAGCTTTTGCCATTCAAAATCTGCTGCACGTGGTCTTTGCACCCCTACAGCTGCTTGCTGACATCTACAATAAATAGGCTTTCCCTATGCTCCTTGCCTTTGGCCTCCTTTGGTAAAATCTGTCTGTCTCATCATCAAGACAGGAATTGATACAGGATAGGTAATACCTGTATGTGTAAAAAAAAGGATCATATTTACAAGGTTTAAGGGGAAACAAATGCCAAAATTCTGTAGCATAGTAGATCTATGACCTCCACGGTGGCAAATTATTTTTATACCATGTCTCTGCGTAACGTAACTCCACAAACAAGCTAGCATGTTTTCTGACAAATTTAAAAGTAACTTCAGTTACTTTTTAGTAACACAGCCTTAGGCAACCTACTCTGAATCCATGCAAGGACTTGAACCTCCCTCATTAAGCTGCTGAACATCCAGTTGGCTACGCAGACACCATGTTCAGTTGTGCAGACCTTTCTTTCCTTCCATTTTTGTAAACATGGGAAGACCTGATTTTTAAATCATGAATTTCTAACAAAGATATAGATGTGTAGCCCATGAAGCACATCCATCCAATTTTATCAGAGAGGGTTTGAAACACCAGTCTGCAATTCAGGACATGGATCCTATTCTTTGATGTGCTATAAATTCCCAGCATGATTTTACAAGTTATTTAACACCTGAATTTTTCCTTGTTTCACCATCACTATATGCTACAATTTCACCATCTGCAGTAGCATGATGGGGAGCTGCTGTCACTAAAAACTTTTAGGAATGGATTACACCAAACTATTAGGGAAGTGATTTACTTTTCAGTAGGGCTACAGAAATAGAGATATCCAGTGCTTATTTTCCTTTTAGATAGTATCTGCTTATCTGTCCTCTTGCTTTTCACTCTTGTAAGGTCTTGATTATTCTCTAGGGATATTCCTGCATAACAGAAGCCTCGGTGACACTAACCTCTAGATCAGGAGAGCAACCTCATTCTAAAGCAGAGAACACTCAAGACCAAATTCAAAACTAAACCATATAGGAGTCACTGGGAAGATGCATTTAGAAATCAGTTAATCTGTTCTCCCATATCGAAACCAAAGAGGAACAGAAATATTTCTTCAAAATGTTGCAAACAATAGATTTTATTAAAAAAAGCTCTAAGGCAAAGAGATAAAGTGAGAAAGTTATTAGTGTTCAGTTTGCCCCAAAAATCGTAACAACTGTGACACAGATTTTAAACAATATGACCCCAGGTTATCCTGAGCAAGTGCTGGTATGTTTAATCTGCCACCTATAAATACATAAAATGCAGTGAGTTGGTGATGATAGTGGTGATTTTGCAAGTGACTTGCAGCATATTAATAGGTTGTTTCAAAGGCAAATCATTTTGACCCTGAACTCTCCATGCAATTCTACGTCATTCTCTCCCCATTTTCGCTTTTGTGCTAGACTCCCATCAACAACTCTTGCTATTGTACCTATTCTGCAGTCAGACAAAATTTTGGCTTGTGCTTGAATGACACTGTGAACTGACTTCAAGACTCCTAGTAGGCATAAACCATGCTGCCTACTCAAGCGGATTCAAAGGCAATACAGCTAAGTTCTCATGCCTCCTCCATATCAAATTTGTCATGCTACGCAATACGATAGCATGAAGGTTTGAAGAGAACGATCAGGGAAACAGAACTGGGTATTGCTGGTTATTCCAGTGGTGAAGAGAATTGGTGCTGGAATGAAATGCTTTCTTGATGCAATCCCTTTGTGTTGTTTAGAGGGGACCTTTTTTTTGGGGGAGGGGGGGGCTGGGGGGAAGGAGTACAGAAGTAGGGAGTTATAAATGGCAATATGTAACAAGCTCTGTTCCTCTGAACAGTAGAAGCATCAATCAAAAAAAGCACCGTCTTTGTTCCCATTTTTCGAGCCCCTTGCTGCCACTGCAAGCCCCTAAGAGCTCCTTCTCATGGCCAGTCACACCAGTCTTGTTTCTACCACGTGTGTTGTCTTCTTGCTCTTTACTTGCATCTGTTTGAGGAGGGGGAAGGTGTTCAAGGGGAAGGCTCAAGCACATCACTCTACACCATGCGTAGAAACTGCAGTTTCGGTTATCTAAACAACAGAACTCAGCCATTTAATTTATCTGAAATACAGGGCAGCTCAGAATTGTTATTAGTATGCAGACTGTATGCAAATCCCTGCTTGTAATATTTATTACCTAGCAGTAATATTTCTTGGCAGTTCTTAATGACACCAGTTAAGTTAATGATGACTGGAGATGATCCATTTGTAGATTATAAATATTTCTTTTAAGGATAAGAACTTAAAAACACTCTGCTGTCAGGTTCAAATACTTAGTACCAGTTATTCAACAGAAAGTAAACTGAGATAAAAAAAAATCTACCTCCTGCACTTACTTTTTGCCATAAGAGAAGCCTTCAAACAAAGCTCACTTTACATATTTTTAATGAGTTGTTGAATTTGAATAGGAAATATATTTCCTATTCATTAAGAGACAAATCATTGTCACTGTTTTGCATCTTCAGGCAGAACAATCTGCCGAACTTTTTTAAAAAATAAGCATTTCTCACAATAGGATTTCAGCAGTAACAGAAACAGAGCATTGGTTTATGATACATCAGTTTAGTTTCTGAATGAATATGTGGTGCAGTGGAGCCTCAAGTATTTTCTCCAGACAAGGAACAGTAATCCTGCTGTGATAGAAGTAAGGCAGTGCTAAACCCACAGCTGCAGAAACCTGGTTAAAAATCTAAAGGAAAGTTAATGCAGTTGTAGCCTTTGGTATATTTCACTTGCATTAAAAACTGATAAAAAAATGAGAGCAAAGGAAACTTAGCCACTCAGCATTTTAATGTGTACCCTGGCCTTTGAACTGGAAAAATAAAACATAAGCCACGACGGAAAGCAAGGACATCAGAAACACCCCTCTGGGCTGGACCAAGACTTCTCCCAACCCACTTTTCCATATGACAGTTGTAAGAACAAATAAGCAGAGATGTCAAGGGCCTGCAAGGCGACAGGACTGCAGAAGGCGGTCAGGCTGGTGTCCTCTCACTTAAGAGGGGCCTCCAGTCACCATTATCAGGCCTTTCACTTGCACCAGCCATGCCCCAGCATGGGAGCCCTTATTGCAAGGTTAACCCCTGTGCTCATCGGAGCAAAAATTGACCACTGGACCAACCAAGAACATAGAAGAATGTTTCTGAACTGTACAAAATATTATGAAGATCTTCATGAACTAAGGGAAGCTGTGCAGGGGATGCTTAGCACAGGCTTGAAATCTGCAAACTTCTGTTCCACCATGCCTTTTTTCCCCCTTTTTCCTCCCTTTCTAATGTAGGAGCCCCTTATCAACCTCCCTTCTCCTGCTCCAGTTTCACTATCCAGAAAACAGCTAGATCCTTCTTCATCAGGCAAGTTGGTCAAGTGCTTTAAAGCCCTCCAAAGAGCTCTGCCATACACAGATCTGCATTCGCTGCGGTGGGACTCAGCCTGCTCGGTGTCTCGCTATCCCGATTTCGGCTTGCAGGCCAGACTCCTTCCCAGCAATCGCAGGAATAGCTCTGCCGAAGTTAGCGCATCTGTGCCTGTTTATGTCAGCGCTAAATTTAGCCGCCACGCTCATCACTGCACGGCTCCAATAGCGTTACCGACAGAACAGACCCTCCAAGCACAGTTAACTGCGCAGAGCAGTAACCACCAGTGGAAGCCATTGCAAACCTGCATATTTTAGCACACAGGAACAGCATGACCCTCATCCCCTCATGCCTGCGTCCGCAGGCGGGCATTGGGGCCGCTTTTCCCTGCTCATCTCCGCACAGGAGCAGGGCCCAGCTCCGGCAACCGCACTGGGCTGCAGCCCTCAGGCGCAGGGGTGCAACAGCAGCTCTA